GCTACAAGCCGGTTGAATCATTTTGACCCCTCCAAGTGTCGATCCCTGGGAAATTATTCAAGAAAATAAAATACATTTAAGCATTGCATGATAATGCATATATAGCTGTACAAAGTCCAAAGGATTGCTAGACTCAAAGATTCACACCATGTTAAAGAAAACTATATTATGCACTACGAAATTGTAATAGGATTTGTAAATAGAAGCAATAAGTTTATTTAACGAATTCATACCACAGTTGCATAAGCAGCACCCTGTGACTCAGACATGTCTTTCGTCCCGAAAATTCCTTCAATACCACCATCTCCAAATAACTGGTCCGGGTTATCGAGAGAAACACCAAAAAGCTCTTCGTAGTTTTCAAAACTCAGGTCAACCTCATCTATAATCAAATCATCATAAAAGCTATCATCACACGCACCACTTTCCTTAGCTCCGGACATGGAAACCTGCAAGAAAGATGTTCCAGTTTGGTAAAATAAATTGAGCGTGCACGAAAAAGAAAAAAAAAAAATTAACGATCCATAAGGACTGCACATCATGCTTCGGTTAATATGAGGGGGTAACAAGTGTTTATCAACTCTTCCGCTTGCAGATAGAAACCGAAAACTAATTAAATTAAGAGAGAACTTTCCATTGAGAAGACTTTTTTTCTGTTTTTTAATCCAAATTTTGATTAGATAAAGCAGAATCGAAGCAGAAGCTGCCATTTGACCTCCAAATATTTGTTCTTTGCAGTAAGGTTCAAAATCCACTTAACTGCCAAGAACAAGTATCCAAAAAGATTAGCCAACCTTTTGCATAGCATTGCTGGTCGATCCACCTGGCAACAACTCGATCCCAGCCGTTGATTCACGCGCTTCCCCCAAATGAAATTCATCATTTGTATTCTCCTTCTCTCGAAAATCAGCAGGCCCTTCATCCGCAATGCTCATCGAGCCCATTCCCTGCTCACAGCCCGAGTCCAGCAGAAAAGCCCACATTTCAGAAAGTTCAGAAGCCAATGGGCAGCCCGTGTAACAATGAATGGCTTGCCTCTTGTGAGACGGGCCTGTGCTCGGGCCAGCGTGGCCAGACCAATCACAGTTTTGACAAAGGGATACTTTTTCCTGTGCACATCTAACGAAAGCAGGCTGAGAATTGCATCTCTCGCAAATGAGTGTCCTCAAGTGGCGTTTAGAGAGAGCATTTGCGGAATGTACGTTACGATCACACGACAAACATAAGCTAGCAGAATCCGAACGGCAATATACCATCGATCTTTGTTCCCCACAGAAATCACAAAGGTACCCCATATTTTTTGCAAATTTACAATTTTGTACTCACAATTCAGCTCAACTGGTGAAGAGCGGATTTTTCTTTTTCTTTTTNNNNTTTTTTTTTTTTTTTTTCCTTCTCTATCTTTTATTTTGCTGGAGCTGAACCCGCGCCTGCATTGGAAAGGCACAAGAAGAAGTTTCGATTAGATGATTTGTACAAGTTGAATTATGTCTTGCACTCAACATCAACAAGACGTATACAGCGACAGTTTTATAGGTACTCACGCTAAGCTGAAAAACGATAATTGGATCGAAGAAAATACAATCTTCAACTACAATTGGGTAACAAAAATAGAAGTATATTACTGACTGATGAAAGATAAACTCAAGAAAGATGCAGAAAGGGTGATAGATACCTTTATTACCAAAGATATTTATTGAAAGAACAAATTCTTTAATGTGATGTGTTAAAATATAGTTACATAACAAACACACGCACGAAGGAAATCATCAATAATCTAAACAAAAAGTAAAGAAGCAGTGAAAGAACAATAACTAGTTTCACTTCAACAGGGGCTGTGAAAAGATTGGAAATTTAGTTAGTCAATGACGAGCTAAAATGGAAAAGGAGCCCACAGACATGGATAAAACTACAACATCTCTTGACCAATAAAAAATTCATACAAATCCAGCTGAAGGTAGGAAAAATCAACAGCCAATTCCCATCAAGATCTCCAGCTAATACACAGAACAAATGAGGAAAAAGCAACAGAAGCCAAAAAAGGACTGAAGAAATCACGTCTAAAATCAAGAATCTAAACACCCCCCAAATTAGTCAACAAAGAACGGTACAAATAAAACAAAAGAAGGAAACAGAACGACTGAGAACTGATGTATGTATATAAGAAAATAAAAATTAGCCGCAAAGGCATAAAAAGATCCGACCTTTAACTGGAGAATCAACAGGAAGGAAACAGAAGAACATGAGCTTTGTACAGTTTTGCTTCATATGTCACTTAAAACCCTAAAAAGATCCGACCTTTTTCAGAAGGGGCTCTCTGTTTCTCTCTCTCTCTCTCTCTCCCACACATATAAACACACACACACACACACACACACACACACACAACAACAGCAGATGAGGTGAAGTGAAACTTTTGTGGGACTGGATTTTTTTAGGTTCAGACAGAAGTTCCAAAAAGATAAAATTAATAAAAAATCTGATAAATGTGATAAAAAGTGCAGAGGTGAGAAAGTATGTGGGGTCCTTGTTCACCTCCATGAAAGAGAAAGCCTGCACTTTTTCCACTATCCCCCCCAACCCCACAAACAAGAAATAAAAATATATGTTATGTAAAGTTACTACTACTAGTCTAGGACCATACCATAGACTTCTCTCTCTATTATGCTTTGATTTTTGATTTTGTAGTTTTTGCAGTTGCACTTTCATGGACTTGATCATACTAATAACTGAAGGTAATAGGGGTTGGGCTTGGGGGTTTAAAGTAATTTTAAAATCATACTCAATATTGAAAATAAATTATCAAAATTGGATTTTTTTGTTTCGTTTTCAAAATCGAGATGATTAATTGGGTTTGAATATTTTATATTTTGATTTGAAAATTTTCATGATAGAGACGGTGCAAATTGATACAATTGAATATAATATACAAAGATTTCATCATATTATTAAATTAGAATAAAGGCAAAATTATTAATTTCAGTCATATCTTTTTTGTCAAATTAATGAATTATTATATTGAAATTTCAAATACATTTTCAACTATCAATTATTATTTTTAATCTTCTCGTATATTCAAAATAAAGAAAAACAAATGAAAAACATTTTGAGCTAAGAATAAATTTATGCAAACATAAATTTTTGGTATATACATATGATATGCAACGTTTTGATAAGATACACGGTACAAATATTTGTTTAATTTTCATAGCCGTACCAATTATTTCTTCCACATACCAAAAAAATCAATCAACAATTATTATCAAGTCAAAATGATTTTGGTTTGATTTTTAAAATTGTTTGGTGTTCACTAAATCTTGTGTTAACCTTAAAATTGACAGCTTTTTTTGCCTTTAGGTCTCTCTAATATTGGCTTGGTTTTTGGCCTTTTAGTGTATATACAATAATAGAGTGTGTGTTTTAAGTATAAAGGATTTATTATTTGGGTTTATATTAATATATTATATGTCCATCATTTATGTAATATTTAAAGCCTTTTTGGTGTAAGTATAGTACTAGTACTAACCCATGACAACATAGGTGTCGAGTTAATGAATATATGTATAAAGTTATTTATGTCTAATACCAAGCCTAATTCCAGAGCAAAAATAATATAAAAACAACATCAAGAAGCATTGATTTTCGCCATGTCAGCATCCGAAGCGTGAGAATCTGCCACCTAGGCTCAACACGTTTTGAATTAATGTACAGGGAAGAATAAGGATTTTCTTAAAGGACAATGGATTGATTATTTGAGATTGGATTATACGTACGCTATTTGTTTTAAAAAATGCAATAAGTACATAATAAATGTACATAGAGGTGTACATAACACTCACATGGAGTGAGGTCCACTTGATTTTTTATTTTGGTGGGTCCCACTCAATGTGAGTGTTATATACACTCCTATATACATAATTATGTACTTATAGCATTACTCGTTTGTTTAATATTCAAGCTCTCTCTTTTATTACAAAAAAGAAAGGGATGATGACTTTTTGAAAATTGAAATGTTCGTGCAATAAAGTATAAGTTACATTCAACCATGGTTATAAATTTGAGTGTTGACTTTCATAAGGTGCATGCCTTTTTATGTATCCTTTCAATCATGCCATAGGATCATATGTTTGAATTTTAACAACTTATAATAATAGAGAAAATACTGGTTATCTTAATAATATATACTACAAATAATTACTCTGCTTTATCTAATATAGTTGCACGATTTAAATTACTCCCCACTTTTAAAACATTGTCAAGGAATTATTAGGCTATAAAGACTGGTGAGATATGCCAAATCTAAGGGAATTTATTTTTATTGTGGATTAAGAAGAATGAAGATGGAATCATTTCTATATAAGTTTCCCCAACACTCATAGTTTTTGTACAAATAAAATTTTTAATATGCAAATTTTTTATGCATTTCAAAATTATATAAACAAGATTTAGCATTAATTTAGTGCCTATATGTAGTATAAAATTATTTTTATCAATTTTTTTGTTGTTAAATGATAGGCATCAATAAATTTATCATATAATGAAATAATGGGAAGACAACCTTTAATAATCGAATTTTAGTTAAAAAATAATCTACTTAACCAAACCACACACGATAAATTGTAGAAATTTGATTGTCATTAGAGGTCTTATCTATAATATTCGTATATGACACATTTAACATATTTAACAAGTGTTTTACTCTAGAACTAACGTTCGATCCTATGCACATGCACATATACAAATAAAAATGTATATGCTATATGTGTGTGTCCGTACTAGTTAAAAATCATAAGTTAGATAATGAGCATATAACATTTTATATATTTTACCATTAGTTAAAATTAATGATATACATATAAATAATTCAGTTATATATTAATATTTTTGTATTGGCCGCAATAATATAATTTTAGCAATCTTGGTTGATTATGACCAATTAATTAGATAAAATAATATTAAAATTACAATTAACAATTTGTGTACGAAATTTTAAGGAGTTTGGTTATTTCATAAAAAAATAATTAACTAATTAAAAAAAAAAACTTGTTTAATGAAATAAAAAGGAAATAATAGTTTAATAAATAGGTTAAACAAAAGTTTTAGAATAGAATATCATTTAATGTCACTTTATGATTATTTAGCAGTGACTATTATCTATATATATATATAATTGCTAGCTAATCAATAAATAAAACATCATAAATAAAACCTAATTAATAAAACCTCATTTATCTTCCCTCCAAAAGAAGTTACAAAATTTGTCATTCATATTTTGGATTTCACATTAATACACCCTATTAAGTGTAATCATGTAAAAAAAAATTAATAGCATTACCTATTATAATATAATAGCAAAAAAAAAAGCATTAACTACTATAATAATAATAATAATAATAATAATAATAATAATAATAATAATAATAATAATAATAATAATAATAATAATAATATCTTGAAACAATAGAATTGTTTATACTTATGTAATTTATATTTAATGTGAATTATTATGAGTTGGTAATAGAATTAACTATTATATAATATGATAGGAAAAAAATACATGATTACACTTCATAGGGTGTAATAATGTGAAAAACAAAATATGAATGACAAATTTTGTAACTTCTTTTGGAGGGAAAATAAATGAGGTTTTATTAATCATTTTTTTAATACACTTAATTAGGTTTTATGAATGATATTATTATTATTATTATTATTATTATTATTATTATTATTATTACTATTATTATTTTAATTTTGTATTTCATGAAACAATTTTCTTCAAAAACAATTAGTAAATAGTTTTAATAGTATAACAAAAAAAACTTTAAAATCTTATAAACAATTGTCGTTGTAATAAGAATAGTCATAATAATAATAAGAATAATAATAATAATAATAATAATAATAATAATAATAATAATAATAATAATAATAAAGTTTTCAAGTAAATTATTTGACCATGATCCCTCCAAATTATAAAAATACATTACCCACAAATTCTTTTAATCAATATAGTGATTCATATGTAACTCAAATAATTTATATCAATATTATTTTATTTTTACTAATGATTAAATCTTGGAAATGTGGTATGTCCATTATCTAGAACTAGTACAGATCCCGTGCGATGCACGGGGTGCACAAAATTAAGGTCATTTATCAAGTCTTATAATTATATAAATGAATAAAGAAAAATGTACAGGATATATATAGTACGTGACCTGTAATAGG